GGCGGTTCTCTTACAAACCCAAAGCCTGTTAGCACCCTATGTGACAGCAATAAAGTTAAGTGTAAAAAAAAAAAAGCAAGCTGAAAAATTAAAAGGAAAAAAAATTAAATTTTTTGCACAAATGCAAAAACGCATCGGATGCACCTACGTGAGAAAACCACGATTACACCACACGCTACATATCACTGGGAATGCCACAGTGCAAGAAGTAATTCTAGGATCATCAATCAATGTTAACACTAAATTGATGGGCAGTAAAAGCTTTTAAAGCGTCGCCTATGGGCAATTTTGGATATGGTAGTTTCTGCGGGTGCACGCAATTTTGGCTTGACATGTTTGGTATCTATTTACCCGACATGACCCCGTCTTTTATATTTTAACAAAAAATTAATAATAAAATAACTTTAAATTTTTGGGACTCATTTTTTTAAATATAAAAAAATAAAAACCCAGTGGTGATCAAAAACCACCAAACGAAATCTCTATGTGCCCCCCTCCAAAAAAATGATATAAAATGAATTTCAGTACAGCGTTGTATGACTGAATAAATGTCAGTTAAAGTACCTCAGCTCTGAATACTGAAAAATGGCCTGGATAGGAAGGAGGTTTAACATTCCAGTCTTTAAGTGGTTAATGTAACTGTAATGAGATTTGAGCATCTCATTATAACTATTATTTCTATCTCCCTCACTTTGGAAGGAATGTGGCCCTTCTAGATTGTTTAGACATTCTCAATTCTAGCTCCAGATCTGCTAAGCTGGTCCCTTTGATCAAACCTAATAGTTTATCTAAAGCTTTCCCTAGGCCCGGTGTGGATAAGCCTTCATGGTCTTTTATGAAAGGTGTTGAAAATAGCTAGTACCATAGCAATTGTCATGCCCAGTTCAGCCAATTCACTACAGGTCACCTTGTGGATAAGGAAGGAATGTATGGCATCAATAATTAACCCAAATTTTCATAACTCGGAATCAGGGAATGATATCATACAATAATTGCATAAATAGCTGCATCTTGTCAAGAGAAATACACACATATCAATATCATAGTTAGGTTACGATGGTCAGAGACTTGACAAACCACAATAATCCTCCTGGGCCAGCCACTAATAATTTAGGGGTCATCAAAAAGTAATACCCTGTTTCCCCTAAAATAAGACCTAGCCCGAAAGTAAGACCTTGCACTCTTTTTCAAGATTCCTGTAATATAAGACCTACCCCGAAAATAAGACCTAGTGTGTTTTTTTTGGGCAAAAAAAATATAAGACAGTGTCTTATTTTCGGGGAAACACGGTATGCAAGAATGTTAAACCATGATGATAGTTATGGAATTGACAGTTTGGTAGGGGCAGAGGATAGATTATAAAATACTTCTGCCTTCTTGCTCACCCTCCCTAGTCCTTCCTAATTGGCTTATAGGCAGGCACAGGGACACCCTCTAAAGAACCGACAAAAAGCTGCTGCGCAGGGCAGTCGTGGGATTATGCAGCTTCAAGAGGATCGCTTAACTTCAAGAAGCTTGTTGTACCATCCAAAGAAGGCTCCTCATAACATCCACAAAACACTTTTTAATACCATCAAAAAAAGAAGAGCATTACCATCAAGAACCAACCGTCTGCCTCACTATGAGAGAGCCACCCAGATCCATCTGCTGTTGCATTGAATTGGACTCTTTCAGAACTTACAAAACCCAGGACTGTTAAGTATTCCTAATTATTTTCCCTTTTATTTTCACTGCTGCTCTATATTTGTCTCTTATTTTTTGTAACATCTTTTTTTTCTGTATATTTTTTCCTGCAACATTTCTTTTATTAAAGGGCGATCTTAAAAATCGTTAAGCTTATCTCTACGATCTAGATAAGAACTTAAAGTGTCCTTGTCTTTGTGAAGAGTCCTACTGTAAAGTGAAACCTGTCATATTCCTGTCTGAAAGGACAGCAGTATCATAGGCTTTGTTTAGGTTTTTGAATTGTCACAGCATTTGCTGAGAATGGTGCATGTTTCCATTAAAATACGTGGTGGCAGCTACTGTTTTGTGTAAAAGGGGAACTGCTGAGTTAACCAACTCTAGTGACGATTGCCCTCGGTCTGCTGGACTGAGATTGTTGTCCCGTGAGCTGGGAAATCTCTGTGCAGGGTGAGGCTGGGAGTGGTATCGACCATGTCATTGCAATGGCTTAGTTGGTCTGGAATTGCATATAGTCACGTTATTGACCGGCACATCCGTCACAGTTAATATATCAAGTCACACCTTCCAAAGTACCAACAAGAATTGTTTGTGAGGTTTATAGGGGACTTCCAACCTGATCATTGGCACAATGTCACACTGCAGAATGTCTGTTCCACTCACACACTGATTTAGATTAGGCCCTTTATAGCAGAATAAGAGTTGGGCTGCTCTCACAGTGAGGGTTTCCAGTAAGTTTGCAAGTTTCCATATTATCTTCCACTTCCATAAGTGCTCCTTATTGCTTCTTAAAACAGCACCACTGTGCCAAGTGATGCTTGAAATTGGCAGGACCAATATACTGGTTTTACCTATATAGAAAAAAAAAGGTGAATTCTGCCCCTGGCTGACCAGACTCTTCATACTAGCTGAACACTTACCAAGGTCTATGTGTACAAGTTCTGCTGTCTCTTCATCTATTAGGATGTTCTGTACATGTCTGTCTCCAAGCCCAACAATGTAACCAACTGACATTAAAAAAAGAAAAATACAGAATTATATTAAAGGTAATCTCCAGTCTTTCTAAATATGTAAAGATACGGATGTGAATGTGATCAGCGCAATGTAAACCATCCTTTAAGTGTGAACAGGAACGGAAGGTTCAAATGGAAACAACCAATTAGTTGATCCGAATTCATATTCCATCAGAAACCACACCCCTTAATAGTAATTCAATGTCCTTGGGGGATGTTGGAGCAACGGGTCTGTGGTGCCTGCATGTGGTGCTCAGTCATGTGGACGGCTCCTTCCCCCTGTTGGGTCTTTTGGGGAGGGCGGCACTGTCAGCAGCTGAACCAGCTTTTATCATCTAAGGCTGTTTGTGACACTTCCGTGCTCCAATCTCAAATGCATGCATCACTTCTGGCTCCAGAAGCAACTTAACCATCATGTCTCTTGTGATGGCTACAAGGGTTCATCTTACAGTGATTGTATCTTTAAGTCTAAATGCAAGTATTATTGAATACATAAGTTTACATCTGTATAATTTGTACTAATATATGATATGATTTTTATAGATCTGGTATATGTTTCTTGTACATTTTGTAATTTATGCCAATATTTGTTTCAGATAAAATTTGTTCAAATTTTAGATACATGATTGAACCCACACCTCAAGAAACGGAAAAGCGCAAAAGTCACCTGGGAAGTATTTCAATTACTTTTTGGTGATGTTTTGTACTTATTTATCAACAAGTAATATAACAGATAAACATATCGGATATTAATTAATTGTAATTTTAATGTGATGTAAGAATAAAAAAAAAGTTCTGAGGAGTTTTATACAATCATATGGTATATGGCTTAATAAGCTTTTGCCTGTGGTACATTCAAAGCCCCATTTTTGCTCTATAATACATCTTTTCAACGTGTAACAGATTTATCATAGAGCAGGCAGTATAAACTGTAAGGGTATTTTTATTTTACTACCTGCCCCTCCAGCACAGCCCAGGGTACTACCTCTCTACCCTGTGCAACGCTTAAATACATTGGGCAGCCATATTTGCATGATCCATTTTTGCTCCAAAGCAGCAGCAAAGCTACAAATGCCAATTCCCACAAGCTGGTCCAATACGGTAGCAGGGTGATGTTAGTCACACACATGGTCTCCCGCCTGCATAACAGGAATAATCAGTAGACTTATGCGCCGTCAAAAAATTTGTTCTGTTTCGTTTCGGAATATCCGTTATTTCGTAATTCGTAACTGAACTCAATTCGGATTCGTACGAAATACGAATTTTCGTTAGTGGCGGTTATATTTTCGTAACTTTACGAACATTCGTTATGATGAAGTTAAAAAGCAAAATACCTTTGTTAATATTGGAGTGGTAGTTGTTTTTTTTATCCGAAATACAAATTCCGTTAACGGATTCCGGATCCGAATTTCGTATTAAAAAAAAACTACCATCAATCAACTCCAATATATTAACAAAGGTATTTTGCTTTTTAACTTCAATATAACGAATGTTCGTAACGGAACGAAAATACATCAACGGAATTTCTTATTTCCTGCCTGTATTTGTAATGCAACTCTCATCAGCAGAAGAGAATCTCTGATTGGTCAACCAAAACGAAATACGAATTCAGTTAACGGATTCCGTATTCCGTATTTCGGACTTCGGACTTTAAAAAAAACTACCAGCAACTCCAGTATAAATGTACTTTGCTTTTTACCTTCAATATAACGAATGTTCGTAACGGAACAAAAATACGTCAACGGAATTTCGTATTTACTGCTTGTATTGTAATGCAACTCTCAGCAGCAGAAGAGAAAACCTCTGATTGATCAACCAAAACGAAATACGAATTCCGTTAACGGATTCCGTATCCAAATTTCATATTTCGTATTTAAAAAAAAAATACCATCAACTCCAATATAAATGTACTTTGCTTCTTAACTTTAATATAACGAATGTTCGTAACGGAACAAAAATACGTCAACGGAATTTCGTATTTCCTGCCTGTGTGTGTAACTGTGTATTGTAATGCATCAGCAACAGCGGATCCGTATCTCGGATTAAAAAAAAATCTTGTCATGTTGTTCAACCTCATTTACAGGGGTAATATTAGTTCCTGTTTCAAAGAAATTCGGATCCGAAATTGGTTAATGGAATTTCGTATTTCGGATATAATTCGGAAACTGCCATTCGGATTTCGGATGCTACGAAATTCGGAATTTTAGGAAAATTCGTAAGAATTTCGATTCGTAACGAAACGAATCGCACATGTCTAATAATCAGTAACAAATCTGTAGTACCTTTCTTTCCCTCTCCATCTGTATACTATTTATATCACCTGATATCACTCACCAAATATCATAGCCAGTTGCACCCTTGCAATTTTATGAGAAGCAGGGAATGCTAAGAAGTCTGAATTTCCACTGAATCACCCATCCAGTTATAAAAGCATTATACAGCCCCACGGTGTGTAAAACAAAAAGATGTAATAAGAATAATTTACCCTGACTGTATATACAAATATACTGCATATCACAGAGGTATTCCAAGATGATATACAAAACACAAGACTGCATGTTACCTTTTACATTATTATTATACAGGATTTATATAGCGCCAACAATTTGCGCAGCGCTTTACAATATAAGGAAGACATTACAATCACAATACAATTCAAGACAAGATGGTAAGAAGGGCCCTGGCCATGAGGGCTTACAATCTAAAAGGGAGGGGGAATACCTCCTCATGTATCACTTACCCCTCCCTTTTAGATTGTAAGCCTTCAGGGGCAGGGCCCTCCTTACCACCTTGTCTTGAATTGTATTGTGATTGTAATGTCTTCCTTATATTGTAAAGCGCTGCGCAAATTGTTGGCGCTATATAAATCCTGTATAATAATAATAATGTAAGAGGTAACATGCAGTCTTGTGTTTGTATATCATCTTGGAATACCTCTGTGATATGCAGTATACTTGTATATACAGTTTGGGCAAATTATTCCTATTATACATCTGTAAATCTTCACAATAGAATTTATGTACGTCCATAAGAGAAAGCCTCTGTGTTATCATTAGTAGCCTATTACCTTCTTTTAAATAATGTGCATGAGGAAAAATGCCATTGGATTTGGACTGGTTGCAACAGACACACACATTTTCTTTTCAGAAAATTGATATCCGAGTCCAGGAGAGTACCAGCCCAGTCCTTGTCCTCAATTAGTGATATCAAACACTTTCTGACTTGCCTCCACTTGTCTGAAGGCCTTGGTCCTCTGCTACTGTGCAGGGAAGACTTTCAATAAATCTTCCTCTTTCATTACCTCATCTATCAGTATCAAGAATGATTTCTCCATAGGTGGCAAACAAATTTAGCCATTGAAAATGACAAGAGGAATATAAATGTTTCAATCTTATTAGTCTTGAGAATGTAGCGGATCACCAGCACTCAAAAGATATCGTTTTCAAATCTTTCTATACATGTATAGCGTCACATATATCAAACAGCCAATGTTTCGGGGCCACGCAGGACGACCCTGAAACACAGATTTGAAAATTATATCTTTTGAGTGCTGGTGATCCACTACATTCTCAAGTCTGAATATACACAGCGCCATCCATGTTCATCACTACCAGCACCACATCTGCTACAGGTTGTATACGCTGAAAGGAGTGCGGGGGACACGTCTGTACACTCAATCTTATTAGCAGCTTTGACAAAGTAATCGTTCTTATTACAGAAATTCTAATACATGAAGAATCTAGTGGGTGGTATTTGGCATACACCACAGATTACTAGCACATCTTGGTCCAGTTATCAGCCAGGGCCCTATCGAGTTTGAAAGGCCCAGGACTGGCTGTCCAGAGTGCTAGTTATACCAGTGAAGGAGGCCTAGTAATCTTAGAATTACTAGATCTTTTAATTTCTGTCTACTATGCAGAAAAGAAGATATTAGAGCTAAATTGTAAGTAAAACATACCAATGGATGATGTAGCAACACTACGTGTATAAGCCAAACGCTTCTCAAACCAAACTACTGGATCTATGAACTTCTCCATACAGAAGTAGCGGAACACTGGGTGGAAATGATCACAGATGTCGAGGAATACTTGGTACTTATCTTCAAACCGTCCTCTTTGAACATCCTAGAAAACACAGGTATTGATGTGAAAGAAATCAAGGTAAAGTAGTAAAAACACCACTGAATGTGTATAATTGCAGGTTAAGAGAACTTGGTGTTTTCATTGATTCTGAATGTTGGCAAAATCTCTGGTGAATTTTTCTAGTTAAAGCAGTTAGTGGCTATAGTTTTGGGTTCACTGGTGATCACACAGCATTGAAATATCATAAAACATTATTCTTCTTTTTTCTTCTAAATGCTGCATCCAAAACAAAAAACACAAGTATATTGTCTTTCATTTTACATATTCATTGTAGTAATAAATTTAGCTTTTTCTTCTTTAAAAATACGTTTTAAAAAAAAGTTTTGTCCAATGGCCTGTTGAGCAAACCACTGGACAGACTGCAAGTTTTTCTGTACAATTTAGAAATGTCAGGAAACTCTGGCTGTTCCCATAGAAAGACTAGGGACACTCGGCTTCCTCCTTTTAACATACGATGCTTCTAGAAATCTAAACTTTTTTTAGGACAGTATTCAAATCTAGTTTATAACCGATAATGAGATTTGCCAGCACAGTACAGACAAAGTTAATTATGGTAACCTTCCCAGCCCCCCTCAGTTTAGAGAAAAACTAGCAATATGACAAAATAACTAAAGTTATGTTATGTGAATGAGAACAAATATAAAATAGGTGTAAGAGTGGAAAGGCAGGCATTCCATTGTTGACTCTGCCCTTACTTACCCCAGTGGAGCTTTACCATGCAAACAGATAATACAGTTCCGTAGCCAGGCCCTATCACTTCCCCTCACTATAGGTCCATCCCATGTTGAGGTAGAAGAGGCACGAATTATTAAAAATTAGGAAGTCAATTCCCTATTAGCTTATCAGGCTTTGGGACTGCCAGGGATCTCTGCAAGGCATATGAATATATGTGCAGACATTATTCCATTTGGAGGATTTAAAGTGAGCACAGGTTAATTTTAAAAGCAGTTATGAAAAAGAATAAACCTGCGCTTCCCAGTCTAATTTCCAGTCCAGTCTTATATTTATTTTTATTAATTAATGTTTTAGCAAACTTAATGCCAACGGATCATAATGTGTGAAGGTACTGAGGATGTGGCTGCAATTTAAAGAAATCTTTAAGACTCTTCCATCTTTATTCTGTGTTGCAAATACATACTTAAGAGAGAAGTAGTTTGTGTGTGTATGTGTTCAAGTCTTGATAGAGACTAAAGAGTTATTGTGAGGAGTGCAGCTTTGGTTGTTGTGTTCACCTAGGAGATTTCTGTTACATTCTCATTTACTTTAAATCATGCAAAACTAATAAACTCCTCTGAAAAAGCGAATTAATAATAAGAACAAACCATCATTCTCTTCTGGCATTGCAAGCTACTGTAATCTGTTGGCCGGTACCGTTTGTGAGAGCCATCATCGGAATTGACTAGGTATTCACCAATAGGAACTGTCCCAGAGCACCACTCCAGAACACCACTTCTCTGAGACAGAGGCACCACCTGCCAATAACACATGGAGGCAAGTTATTGATTTCCTCAGGCGTAGACAAGATACAAAATATATGAACTCTTACCATTCTTCTAAATTTCTGCATTACCTATGAAAAAATGTATTTTTATGATCTTCCTCTAATCCATAATCATAAAGACAGTCCTAACTGAACAAATGGTTATACAGATCAAGGTTACCATGGAAAATAAGGAACCTTCTTGAAGTTATGCAGATGAAGAAACAGGGAGACTGAATACAACTTTTAAAGTTGATGATTTTCCTGCCAATATCTGATGGCGGATTTTAATATGTATCAGCTACTATAACTTATGGGGATAACCTTGTATCTGCGGATAGTCAGCTTCCTCTTCCTGGTCTCACTGTTCTTCTGTAACAATGCATTACACATCTGGAACACCTGCTGCATCACTGCGTCTTGTCTCAAATCATCCCGACCCTTTGAAAGTGAGTAGACAGAAAAATCTCACTGAAAATGTGATATACAGTTAAAAACAAGAAGTGACATTTTTAGTGCCCTGCTGGTGATGGCCAGAAAACACTAACAGTGCAAAAGTCAGCATATTTACTCAATTTACCTTAATCTGTATTGCATGTAAATTTAAGCAGTCAGATTCCAAAAAGCTCAATTTTGCCAAAAAGCAAAATTAAAAAAACTCTAAGGGTCAGTGACCACAGCAAGATACAATAACGGATGTTGTGTCACGCAACCTTATTCTGCCCATTTACTCCAATTTCAGCAGCCACTTCATCATGTATAAAAATTTAAAATGGCACCCAATTTAAAAGCTGCTCTATAATAATTAAAACATGAATAACAATTTAAAAAAAGTTATGAAAGTCTCTGATACAAAAAACCTGAAGTACCAAAGTTCTAAAGGTGGAAAGGTACACTATACAATTTTCTCCCATGTTCAGTTCTGGTGTCAGCAGTCACTAGGAGAAATACAGTGGGTAACTAGTATCTATTGTAAGTGTTATGGGATGTTTTCTTGCCATCAAATGTTGCCTATAAAGTACACAATATTAAAAAGCTGATCCAGAAAACTGGGCAAATATGTGGTTAACGTCTCAAAACAGGACACCTAATGAGATACATTTCCAGATGTGGGATGAAGGTCAGGTCATTAAAAATGAGCACCATCATCACTACCTTGACAAGCTGTCTCCTCTCTCTCCCGTCTGAGCCCACACAGTCTATTATTTTCGGCAGATTCAGACCTCCAGCCAGGCGGAACTCAGGCTTGAACGATTGAATTGTCACCAAGTTCTCATACTTCCCACTGGGATCAACCTGAATATATAGAAAGGAAAGTGCTCAGGAAAATCAAACCTGTCATTTTACCACTTCACACCAGTTATAACATTGGACATGAAGACTATATTGCCAGCATTGAAATGTAATGATGTGCGACAAATCACAACAGGTGCTCTGTACTGCTCACAGCATTTAGATTGCTTGTAGAACATTGCTATGTGTGCAGACAGAGAATTACAGGGCTGCCCAAACAAGAATAAAACATTGTCATTATCTGTTCTGAAAAGTTAAAAAAAAGTATTTGTCATAATTCAGCTAAGGCTCCTAGATAATATATATATTAGTATTAAAATGTATCATATGTCCTTATTTGTTACACTTAAAGGGAGTGTAAACTCAAAACTTCTCATATTTTCTACCTATTAAAATTACCAGTTAAATTTACCACTAAAAGTGTTTAGATATATCCGTGCAATAAGCTCAACAATTCACAGTTGTCCTGTCTACACTTTCTGTGTTACCTCACAGAGCCTGATTATCCCTCTCAATTCTGATCTTGGACTACAAATTGATTAGTGCTTATGCTGTGGACATTAGAAGGAGGGGTGTTATTCAATAGTTTAGCAAAACACAACTGGGCAGGGTTGACACCATTCAGTCCCCAAATATACTGTGGGGAAGGGGGGTATTTATAAAAACTGGAGCAGACAGAATCTGGAGCAGTTGCCCATGGCAACCATTCAGCATCTCTCTTCAGTTTGCTCAGGTAAGATTTGACATTGAGACAGAGAAGCTGATTGGTTGCAGCGCAAATCTGCTCCAGATTTTGTCTGCTCCAGTTTTGATAAATCCCCCCCCCTTTGTGTTTTCTGCCCACAGGCACAATCAACAACTTGAAGGGTCTTCAAAGTGATAAAACGGGGGGAAGCATAAGTGCATGTATAGCAGAGATATACTACATATTTTTTTTTTTGCCCTGAAATACACACAATTGGCAGGCCTGAATGCTGGACAAATCAGCACTATATAATGACATGGGAACGGTTTCCTGCAGCATTCTCATGTGAGTCCATTAGGATGTACACCCAAAGAGCTGTTCCTTGATGTCCTGGGCGTAAAAGTGGTGGGATGAATTGCGATGATTCTCCTTAAACATGGAAATGCAGACAGAGCTCTGTTTTTTATTAAGGCTGGTGTGAAAAAATGCTGTAAAGTACGAATGCTTTCAAAAATATATTATTATATTTTTTAATTTACAAAATGCATAGTGAGTGAACAGAAGAAAAATCAAATCAATATTTGCTGTGACTACCCTTTGGCTTCAAACCAGCATCAATTTCGTAGGATAAGGCTGGGTTCACACCTAGGCGTATTGTATATGCGCGTTTGTAGCGCGTTTCGCGACGCATGTTTTTACCGCAATTTCTGAGGGCTACTTGGCTGTATGCCAATGGAAACGCGAGACCAAAACGCCCCAAAGAAGTACATGTACTTCTTTGTGCGTAGGACGTTTTGTATCGCGTTCGGACGGACGGAAATACGGCAAGGTGTGAACCAGACCCATTGAATACAATGGGATTTAGATGTTTGAGCGTTTTGTAGAGCGTTCGTCGAGCGTTGAACGCGCTACAAAACGTTCAGGTGTGAACCAGGCCTTAGAGTCAGGTGTAGGATTAACCAATTATACCAAGTCGGTGCTAATGATAAGCAATTTCATAGGTAGGTTGGAACACAATCAATAACTGAAACAGAAATAGCTGTGTAGGAGACTAATGAGGCTTAAAACTGGGTGAGGAACAGCCAAATTCTGCTGCTAAGGTGAGGTTGTGGAAGACAGTTTCATGTCACAGGTCATACACCATGGCAAGACTGAGCACAGCAACAAGGCACAAGGTAGGTTTACTGCATCAGCAAGGTCTCCCCCAGGCAAAGATTTCAAAGCAGACGGGGATTTCAAGATGTGCTGTTCAAGCTCTTTTGAGGAAGCACAAAGAAACGAACAACGTTGGGGACCGTAGATGCAGTCATCGGCCATGGAAACTTAATGCAGCAGATGAAAGACACATCATGCTTACGTCTCCTCAACTTCGGCAGATGTCCAGCAGTGCCATCAGCAACAAACTGGTTGAAACCAGTGGGACCCAGGTACACTCATCTACTGTCCAGATAAGTCTGTCCAGAAGTCTTCATGGAAGAATTGCGGCAAAAAGCAATACCTCTGACGTGGAAACAAGACTAAGCGACATTATGCATGACAACATAGGAACTGGGGTGCAGAAAAATGGCAGCAGGTGCTCTGGACTGATGAGTCAAAATGTTTAATATTTGGCTGTAGCAGGAGGCGGTTTGTTTGCCGAAGGGCTGGAGAGTAGTACAATAAAGAGCGTCTCCAAGCAACAGTGAAGCATGGTGGAGGTTCCTTGTTAGTCTGGAGCTGCATTTCTGCAAATGTTGAAGATTTGGTCAGGATCAATGGCGTCCTCAATGCTGAGAAATACAAGCAGATACTTATCCATCATGCCATACCATCAGGGAGGCGTGCGATTGGCCCCAAATTTATTCTGCAGCAGGACAACGACCCCAAACATACAGCCAATGTCATTAAGAACTAGACATGTGCGATTCGTTTCGTTCCGAATCGAAATTCGGACGAATGTTCGGAAATTCGGACATTCGGATGTATCCGAATTCCGAATTACAGACAGTCACATAACGAATGCAAACGAATCCGAATTTGCATTTCCGAAATTCGGTAGCGTTAGTATGAACGTTCGTTTCGTTTTCTGTTCTTATTCGTTTCCTATTCGTTTCGTTCGTTGGAGCAAAGTGACATTAGAGAAGGAGAAAAATATTTTTTTCCCCTCAAATGTGACTTTGCTGCAAACGAACAAACGAAACGAATAAGAAACGAATAAGAAGAGAAAACGAAATGAACGTTCGTACTAACGCTACCGAATTTCGTCCGAATCCGAATTCTGAATCCGATTTGATTTCACACCCGAATCCTGAAAAACGAAATAACACAAATCCGAATTTAAAACGAAACTAAACTAAACAAATTTTTTGGCAGTGCACATGTCTATTAAGAACTATCTTCAGTGTAAAGAAGAACAGCCCTGGAAGTGATGGTTTGGCCCCCACAGAGCCCTGATCTCATCATCATCAAGTCTGTCTGGGACTACATGGAGAGAAGGATTTGAGGCAGCTTACATCCACAGAAGATCTGTGGTTACATCTCCAAGATGTTTGGAACAACCTACCTGCCGAGTTCCTTCAAAAACTGTGTGCAAGTGTACCTAGAAGAGTTGATGCTGTTTTGAAGGCAAAGGGTGGTCACACCAAATATTGATTGGATTTGATTTTCATTTACTACCATTTTGTTCATAGATACAAAAAATAAACTATTAACACGTTTATTTCTGAAAGCATTCTTACTTTATAGCATTTTTTCACACCTGCCTAAAATTTGTAGTTACTGGGGAATTTCTCATCTATATACAAGTTAACCAAAGGTTTGTATCTAGGAAGGTTATTTGCCGCTATGGGTGGTACCAACATCCGTTGTACATTAAATAGAAAGGTTAAATGTCCCCACCCAAGTGAATGTGTGAGCGAAGTGACTCCTACCGTATTAGACAGCTTGGTCTAAAGTTTCAGTCAGACAAACCAAGCCTCATAGCAGGCAACATCTTTTAAAACTGTTTAACTAACCCCTTAGTGCTCTGGGATTCCTATGTCATGTATTATATGTTTAATAGAAAATTTTAAACATGAAGCACACCATTGATGTATTTCAAAATAATAACAAAAGTTAAAAAAAAGTTGTGTTCTTTTCAAAAATGTATTTTCATACCTTCAGTTCCATAGTTGGAATAACAACATCTTGTAAGCTGTCCAGTTTAGTGATAGGCTGATCTGATGGTATGGGGATGGCTTCTACGATAAGTGGGAAGCAAATAAAAATATGAAAAGCCCAAGTAATAGCTACCTTATCAAAATGACTACCAACCACAAGTGCTACCCATGCTCTCAACGGAAAAGTGATATACCTCCTCAAGTGGCTTTTATCTTTTTTTCCAATAAAAATAAAATTATAAATGGAGTTCCACACATAGCTTTGATTGTTTGCATTACTTGGGGCTACAATAAAACTCAGGTTTTAGTAAATACTGGGCACAATTTACACAGGTCACAGACAAGAGGTGACGCCTATCCAATCTGCCTACATCTCTCCTTCACACAGCAATCCCTGGCCATGCTAAACACACACATTTAAATGTTAAATTAAATAAATGTTCTAAGCCCAAAACAAAAAACATTGCATGTTTTTACTTAAACAGTGTACCAAATGAAATCCTTATATATCCTTTAAAAATTAGGTAAACATTTCAGTTGTTGTCAAGTTAACTAACGTATGCCAATGCTGCAAAATTCATGCTTGGAAACTAGACAACTACATCTGGGCAGAAAGGGTTAAACAGCTTTAATATAAATGCACAATGGAAGTGTTGTATTAGTACTGTATTTCCATTATACTGGTCCTGCTTACACCAAGATAAATATCTATATGGACAGGGCCCTTCTTACCATCTTGTCTTAAATTGTATTATAATGTCTTCCTTATATTATAAAGCGCTGTGCAAACTGTTGGCCCTATATAAATACTGTATAATAATAATAATAAAAATAATATGTAATTACCCAGAAGGGACCAAGACAAAATAGTCATTAAAAAAAATCCATTACAACAATATTTATTTCATTTATATAGTGCCAACAGATTCTGCTTGCTTGTCAGAGAACAGTGAGCCATTCGCATCAGGACTTGAGGTTTTGTGCTATCATCCGCATTTAAACGCCATATTACAAAAATAATGCTGTACTTACTGCGCTGATTTTTCCACTGGCTGGCATCCATGTTGGCCATAATTATGTACGCATCACACAGCCTCTCCACATCACGCACCATGTTTGTTTTGTGCTTCTTTATTGTATTCACAATACTGCGTGCAGCCTCCATCCGATCCTAACAATAGTAAACATTTTTTCTTTATTTCCTACCACAGAGAAAACGCTCCTTCACATATATTGTTAAGTAAACCTGACACCCGCTATACAGAGACACTGTCACTTGTCCACTCATGGCAAAACTACTGTGTCTTCTGTTTTACTTGTCCCTCTTGCAAGGTAAACTCACCAATCAGCCCTCCATCACTGCATACCAGCTGCCAGTCCTCCTTGCTCCTTTGTTGGATAGTCTAGAAGCTTACCAAGTAGATGTCACTGCCTCCTGGCAGGTAACAGTTTTCAGGCCTGGCAAGGGGGTTTGGACCACTGGCGGAACTACCAGGGTAGCCGCGCTGCCACCCGCAGCATGTACGGGCGGCTGTGCGGCAGGGATGTAGAGGCTGTTACTGGTCCCGCAGAATGTTCTGCAGGCACCGCCGGGCAGCACATTCTGCTGTGAGGACCCTCTCCTCTTAGCCCCGCCCCCTGGCCACCGAGACGAGGAAGAGGGCACTGCAGGAGACGTAAGGTGAGTCTGGAGTGGGAAAGGGGGGGGGCGCGGGAAAGGAGGGTAATGATGGTGTAGTGGGATTCTGTAGTGCTGACTTCTATTATAATGTATTGCTGGGACTTGTAGTCCCGCATAGCTGGTGGTATTCTACATTGCTGCATGATGATTATACAGCAATGCAGAATAGCTCCAACTATGTAGAACTACAAATCCTGGCAATGCATTATAGTGGGGGAGGGCTTTATATTTTTAAGTAGGCATACACCACTGCCAATACTAGGCATTTTTACGAGTACTCACACTCGTGAAAATGCCCCGATACTAAACGCAGATACAGGTGTTCTGTCAAGAACGCCGACGTAGTCAAATTTGTCGACCTCAGCGTCTGCGCTTGTGCACAGACCAGTATTATCGAGGAAACAGGGATTTATTCACAAAGTACTTTGTTTACATTTTTTATTGTGACTGTTAATAATATTCCATCCTTCAGGTCATTGCCATGCATGGCATATTATTACCGGTCACAATTAACCATTACAAACAAATACTTTGTAAATAAATGCCGGTTTCTTCGGTAATCCCGTCTGTACGCAAGCGCAGATACTGGGTCGTCGTTCTCGACAGAACACCGCACTAAAATTTTAAACAAGCGGCTGCCTGAGGTCCCGCGCTTGCTGGGGACCTCGGCAGCCTTCCTGTTAACATGCGGTGCCATGGCGGTTGGGGGGGGCCTTCAGTGTTTCTTGCACCGGGGCCCTGAAGGTTCTAGTTACGCCTCTGGTTTGGACAATCAGCACAGTTTAAATTCCTGCACACCCTGACTGTATGAGCCAAGACCCAACAAAAATGCACGTGGGTTGGGCTTATGGCCAGTTTATATGAGAATAGTGCTTAAAGCATAATTGAACAAATGAATTGCCAATGCTGTTCGGGGAACTGCAAATATGTGTTAGTCAGCAAGTCTATCTTGCATCATCAGTGGCTGTCTAATGACTGAAGAGGAGCATTGCGGGACCCAGAAGAAGCGGCGGGGGAGATGGAGTCCATGTTGGATGGAGCAACAAATGGAGGCTGATCCTATCATCACTGGTGGAGGGCACTACATAAGGTAAGTCTGATATCATGACGAAAGCTCTTCCACCAACACTGCGGAATTAAGTTCCAGTTAAAGGTTTTTTTTGTTTTTTTAATTACAAATATTTCTATAGCACCGACAATGTACGCAGAGCTTTACATATGGCACATTCACATCAGTCCTTGCCCTCAAGAAGCTTATAATCTAAGGTCCCTATCACACATTCACACAGGGACGATTTAGACAGTAGCCAATTAACCTTCAAGAATGTCTTTGGAGTGTGGGAGGAAACCCACACAAGCACAAGGAGAACATGCAAACTCCTTGCAGATAGTGTCCTGACCAGGATGTGAACTGGGGACCCCAGTGCTGCAAGGCAGAAGTGCTTACAACCTTGCTAGTTGTTTGTAGAAGACATTTAATTTTAAAGGAGCAGTGGGAAGACCTGTAATAAACCATGTAATTAGGTTTAGTTTTATATTCCGAGTGGAGTTTAGCTCTCTATTTCAGTAGCATTAACCTTTTAGAAATACGACCATAAGTCAATCACTGTGAGAAAACAGCATGCAATGCTGGACAGAGTAAAGAAAAAGAGCATAAAAGAAGTATGTTACAAATAAGTAAAAACTGACAATGATATGGCTTCATATGAGTAAATCAGGGAATGAAAACACTACCTCATCAGTCTGAGATATCTTCTTTGGAGCATTCTTTGTAAGGCGGCCCCTTTTTATGGTCTCCGATTTCATTACCAGGTCATCTTTATTGGCATTTGCCAGAGCCAAGATAATGAAGAGTGTATGGTATGGGTGATCCAAAGAGGTTCTGCTGATCAGCTGGTAAGGAATTTAAAAAATAAAGCAATATATTATCCATGCCCTGCTCATAAACAAATATGGAAAATCAAGGGCCTATCTTAACACAGTACAAAGAGTATCCAAATCCATAAAACGACAGCATTTAAGTAAATCATATCTGCTTTTACTGGCTTAGCCAGAGAAACCCTCTAGGGTAGGTCACAAGGCAACTTCAATATATGCCAACACTATCTTCCTCAGCACTGAACATTTTTGAACTAACACGCTGTTAAAACCAAATGGGATATTAACTGCTTTCTTTTTGCCAACGGGAGAACATAAAAAAAAAAAGTAATTCCTTGCAATTTACAGATATAGGAACACCATAAACATATTTAGACAGGGGTTTGTCTAAAATAATAATGAGGATACCCTATACTATCTGGCTAAACGTTTGTGAACAACAGACCATCAAACCTATAAGTGCTTGCTGGACATCCCATTTTAAACAATGTACAATAATATGGAGTTGCCTAATTTCTTTCTTTAACAGTCTCCTAGGAAGGCTTTCCAGAAGATTTTGGAGTAGCTATGGAAATTTGGGCCTATTCAGCCAAAACAGCATTTGTGAGGTCAGGTACTGATGTTAGACAAGAAGACCTGGCTCACAGGTGGCAGACCAGTACATCCCAAAAGGTGTTTAAGCAGGGTTGAGGGGGTCAGGGCTCTGTACAAGCCATTCAAGCTTCTTCACACCAGACTCTTCAAACCATGTTTTTACAGAACTGCATTTGTGAATAGGAGAACAGTCACACTGGAACAGAAAATGTCCATAACTGAATTCCAAGCTGGCTCTTTAGATCTGCTAGGAGTTCAGATTTAAACGTTTTGCTGGAATGAATAAAAATCTATATATTTGTGTACATTTATATGTTGTAAATACCCACACATATAAAGCATAGGAAACATTAAACAGATCTATCACCGCTTAATAACTACATAGAAGAGAAAATATGAAGCTGTTAAAGATTATTTTAGCTATAATCAAAGCACAAGTGAACTAAATTAAAGTTAAAATAACATGATTTCTCCCATCTAAAAACCTAATATTGGAATTACAAGATTATCACTTGAGCGAATAGCTCATCATCATGAATCACTGATTTGGGCTGTATAATTACACTGTTGAGAACTCCGTGAAACTCCTGTCTCCCCATGTTCTTGGTCCCCATACGAGCAGCCAGCTGGTACATGAGAGGGAGGAACTTGTGGGAGGGAATCTTTTGCGACTCTGCCTACAAAGAGATCAATGACATCAAGAATCTGTCACAATAAAAATCTGTGTAACAACGAATTACATTTGTACGATAAGCAAAAAAAAGGAGTATTCATAAATAGAAGGCACAACTACAATAATTTACTTCTTAAACACATAAATAACCAACAATCTGTGAATTATATTGTAATGTGTACCCAAGAATCCATGTTTTTATTAATGCTAGTACTGTATTAGCTAGGTAGGGTTTACAAGAGTTAGTAAAAGGTCAACTCATGATACATTTTACAAAAAAAACCCCACCAGTCATAGCCACCTAAATGATGTGAAGCACAAACATTTCCCTTAACAAACATTTCTATCACTACAAGCAAATGACACCTTGCCTTGCTTCCCGGGTTCCGCTGCCCCTCCTGTGGGACCAGCATCATGGGTGTTGGCAGGATGTGGGGAGAGAGACCAACGAACATCCATTCGCCAATCTCCTCCCTGCTGAATGGAGCTGGAAGCAACGCTGATTGCATCAGTTTTGGCCCCTTGGCTGTCATTCCCCAGCTAGAGAACCCAGGGGAGAAGCTATTCAAGCCCGATCTGTGGTTGAATAACTTCTTTGAAGTGGAAAGGTGAAATTAGAGGCCAAATAGACCCATTATGCCACTTTAACCCCTTCATGACTGAGCTTGTTTTTAGTTTCTGTTCGTAAATGACGGACACACTTTTGACATTTTTGCTGTGTGATTCTTCCACGTCAGTAATATACTTTCTTACAAAGTGCACCCACACATATTATATATTGTTTTTTTAGAGGACAGATGGGGCTACATATTTATATCACATATGTGTGTCTAACGCCTCACTTAGGACAAATAAAATATAAAAAAAGAAGAGGAAAAAACGTAAAGAAAACACTTTTTTCCCAGTTTTGATTTGTAATATTTTTTTTACAAAACCAGCACAGCGGGAAAAAAAATGCAATAAATACATTCATTTATTTGTCCCTTATTTTTTTACACTTTTTTTTACACTGATTCTCAGCGGTTACCAGCCTTCTAGTGCAGCAAATAACTCGTCACGTACAGTGTACGTGACGAGTCATTTGGTCCCTTTGTGGCGGGACGTACAGTGTACGTCTCGCGTCACGAAGGGGTTAAAGATAACCTGGAGAAGTAAGATGTCACCAGCACACCAAAGAGATAAATCAAACGTCTTTCATTGATGCATATTGTCATAATTATAGCAACGTTCCGGGGCCACGCAGGGTCCCTTCATCCTGCTCAGTATGACTGGTAACCGTATGATCGTCATACTGAGCCTGACGAAGTGGAGCCCAAAATGTCGCTATGATTGTGACAATATGCATCAATTAAAAGACATTTGTTTTATTTTTATCTTCTGTGTGCTGGTGGCATCTTGCTTCTCCATTAATCTACGTGGCGCCATCCACCGCCATTTTAGCACCCATCATTAAGAAGTTTCCGGTAAAGAGTGCGGTAGGTTACTCGTTGGACTTCACAGAGAACCTGTCACCACTAATATACACTGTCACATAGGAGGCATTGTGAGCCCTCCTATGTGATAGCAATGAAGTAAAACAAAAAATGTTTAAAAAAAAGTTAAATAAAACAAATTTTATAATAAAAAAAGTCCCCGCCCCCCATACTAACAAACAAAATGTACAAAACATGTGCCAGGGTGGGAGCAACAATTCCAGAGGCCAATATTCAATGTTGCCTCTAAACTGATGACATGTAAGGCTTTTAAAGCCTCGCCTATGGACAATTTGAGGTACTGTATTTAGCGCCATTTCACGGGCGCACGCAATTGTTAAGCTTAGCATGTGGGGTATCTATTTATTCAGCACAATCTCATCTTTTATAGTTTACAAACAAAATGGGTATTATTTTGTGTTTTTGTGCACTAAAATTAATTTAAAAGAGAACTATGGGGTAAGTGTTTTTCCCCATAGTTCTCTTTATAGTCACGGGAGGAGATATAGTAACCTCCTCCCGTGACCCATAGCTCAATATATACCGGGTTATTGCCCACGATATACTGAGAGCGCCACAGCCGGGACGGATCCCGACAATACTGCTGCAATCCAGCCAGCTGCGTGAGTAACAGCTGGCTCTGCCTAACTAGAGGCAGATCCAGCTGTGCCCTCCCCCGTCCGTTCCTCCACTATGCGCTGGAGGATCGGAGAGGAGAGGGGGAATCCCTGCTGAGAGTGGTGACTGACAGTCACTGCTCACTGTAGGGAGACGATTGGGAAGTGAGCGGATCGGCTGCATGTTTCTGCTGCAAAAACCACATTGGCAGTGAAAGGGTTAAAAGGAGATGTACATAAGCAACCTCTGCAGATTAATATTAAACTTTATGAACATTCGATGAAAGGAAGAACCTTCATGATCTTGTTAACTTCAGGCACCCGGGAATTCTCTAGCCAGAGGGAGCAGAGACGGAAGATCCACATGTCGTGTTCCTCTCCGGACACCAGGCAGTTAATGTAGTTCTTTATAGCTGTACACAGAAAACGCATCCGGTCTTCTTTCAGAGCTGCAATTTCACTTTCATCCAGCTCCAGCTCTCGTTGTACCTTCACAGTATACCTGCCAGGCAAACCGCATTTTCAGTAAGTTATTTTGAGCAAAAACCACTTAGTAATTTGTATATTTTTAGGCAAAGTTAGTGATAATGGACAAGGTCAGGTTTCGTAGGAAAAACTCCCCCACAGCAGATCCTAACAATCTATACAGTGCTAATTTTGTCCCATTGCTTCGCAGAATTAAAAAAATCTTAGTTTATTACGTGGTTCGGCCATTGCAATTGATTGTCATTCAGTTGTTGCAATTTGATAAAGATAACTGTTTTACCAAAAATCTTATATATAATGCAAACCCTCCCACTTAAACTGCCATCCAATTTTTTCTGTACTACATTTGGGCCCATAGATCCCCCCAGAATCCAGCAACAGATACTCACGTTACCCAAATTTAATGGGGGGGGGTAGGAATGAGGACTCCCACAACCTGCTTACTGGTCTTCCGTGGTTCTCTTATTCACGTCTACCCACCCCACCATTGGCGAGATACTGAAGATTGCCAGAGCAACCCTTCAGTCCTGTACCCTCTCCCCTTTTTCCTCTCCTCTCACCCTTGTGATTGGGGACCCTAACTTTGCTCCTAATGTCGAGAACAGATACTTTTGGCGACTGTTGGGAGGCAATAAGTTCCGACTATTGGACTTATACACCAATTACTAATGGTCACCCCTAGAGGCCCTTAGAACTATGGTGGCTCCGCCTCTGGATTCTTGGATTGCCTTTCAGCTTAATTTTCTCCTCTCGATTTTAATAACTCCAACTCTAGATAGGCCGCTCACCAAGTAAGAGACCATCTGCAGAAACTGCCTTTTGACTAGACATACTATCTTCTCCACGAATTACAAATTCCTCTCTACTCCACTTCTTGACTACTACCCCCTTCCTTAAGAAGTCGGAGGTTGACTGGGGTCTTTCTTTTACTGCCAAACAGAGAGAAACTATATTTGACTCATAAAGCATCCATCGCCAATAAATGTCGGGAACAGGGCTACAAAACTATGTCTATGTGGTATAAAGTCCCTTATGTCTTTCATAATATTAACAAGCACTGACTAGAACCATGTCCTGTGTGTTTTGATCCTACTCAAAATTGCACCCATTCTGGGACTCTGTATGTGATATTGGTTTTGGTGGACCTGGGCCACAATACCCCAACAACTTGTCTTCCTTAAAAATATAGCACATCCTTGTCCATTTATTTGCTCAGTGCAGCAAGAGCATGCGTAGCAGTGCTTTGGCGTCAGCCGTTGGCCTCGTCCATGCAGCTTTGGTTCTCTAAAATGAATGAGGTATATCAAATTGAGGACATGACGTCTATAACATAGAGGAAAAATTTAGGAATTCATGGAGGAACTTGGCTCTACTTTAAGTCTACAGACCCATATCTTCTCACATGATGTTTTCCCCTGCCACGCAGCCCTGAACCTGTTGCGGCGTGGTGAGCCTAGCTTATTGCGGTGGTTGTTCTGGCAGCCTGTAGCATCTAGAAAACTTCAGTTTTCGAGATGCCACGGGGGCTGGTCCTGTTCTCATCCCCTCCTGTACTTTCCCTTTCTCTTGTCCACCTCGCCATCTGGCTTCTTTCGTCTCTACTCTTGCGAAAGATCCCTTTTCTCTCCTCTGCAGGCTCACCTAATGCTTTTCTTTCTCTATCAAGTGTGTATGAACAAATATCCAGCCCCAAAAGGGGTGGTTAAATAGCATATATATTTTTCTACCGTTATAAAATTTTTCCATATCGATGAACAACTTTATCATAACATTTATCCTAAGTAAGCAGTAGCTTAATTTTACATAGAGGCATTACCTTATAGTGTAGGAGACGTTAGTAAGGTTTTATTGTTAATATATATAATGGTGGCACTTTGCCTAGTTACTATTTTTGAGTTGTTTATTTCTGTACAAAGTGTGTTTCATAAAGACTTTTAAAAAATACTCTACTTCCCCCCTGTCCCTAACCTGATCTAAGCCTTAAACCCCCAGCCAAGAATGCTGGTAGGGGGTACAGGCAGCCCACCCGTACTAGGCCCAGGTCCCACCAAGTCAGCAGGGGGGCTCAGACCCGGCGGTAAGGCTATTATGTATGATTTCTAGTGGTCACATTATACCCTCCTCATCTGTGTCATTGTGGAGCACAGTGCCAATCGCAGCCCCTGCTCCCAGTGCACAAGAGCAAGCTGTTGTAAGTTATAAAATATGTCTGCAGGATATATTTGGGGTATTTTATTTTTATTATTATGCGGTTTATACTCTGTTGGACTTTTCCTGTTCATCTGTTTCTGGGATACAATAAACGCTACACTCTCTGGAAAAGAACCAAGGTTGTCTGGATATTTCCTAAAGATTGCAGATCTGACAGTTCTGAGCTCCGGCCGAAAGGACGGATTAGTAAGGTCTAGTAAGGTCTTGCTAATCACTAGATCACCAGGGATCATGCCTCCTCGCTGGAGATCTATAGCCACAAAAAGAATTTACTTTCTGGTAAACTTCACAGGAATACCGCAAAATAATTAAAAATAAACTCTATTTGTACACCTCATTTTAAAAACGAAGACCCATATAAATCACACAAGAATAAACACCCACCTGTTAGTCTGAACCTTGTGTTGTCGCATTAGTTCTACCTCTTGCTTGGCCTTTGCAAGCAATGCCTGCTTGTTTTCAAACTCTGATGACTTCATATAATTATCAATTCTCTGATATTGGGTATCCGAAAAACGAGCCAGTGAAAGGAAGGCCTTCATCTGTACCTTCTGCAGCTCGCCACTGCTTCCACTGCTGAAATCATTTGCAACTTCCACAGCCTGTAACATGAAAAAAATGTAATATACACACCTTCAGTTCTGTTGCTGAACACCGGCAAGTATACAGAGGTTAGATACCATAAGAAAATAAGAGTAATCATCTACGGCAGGTATCTCAAAGCAAATGGCCCGGAACCAGAAACATGTGGCCCACAGCCGGCTGACAGCAGCTACAGTCTGCATCTCTGTCGAATACAGCTGCTCCTGGTGGTGCCGACACTCAGTGTGTCAGAACTTAGTGTGCCCCCTGACAGCCTTCTGCCGGCCGAAAGGAGGGATTCGTAGGGTCTGCACCAGCCAAAAGGTGCAGACCGCACTAATCAACCACTGAAATACCAGGGAATGTGCCTCCTCCCTGCAAACAATGTAAGCAGGTGAGGGGGCTCTTTCTATTTTAAAAAAGGTGTGAGTGTATGTATTTCTGTGTGTGTGCATTTCTGTGTGCAGCCCCCCATGGGAGAAGAACATTTCTACAGTGGCCCCCAACTGAATTAAGTTTGAGACCTGCATACCTGCACAAGTTGTTTGGTCCTGCATACCTTTTATTTTGCTGTTCAAGGCATTGGCTGACTGCATTATGGTCAATACGACATTGACCTAGGTGTTACTATTTAAAGATATGTGTTCCAGATATATTATATATATCTATATATATTATGTATATCTATATATATTATATAAATCTATCTATTATGTGAGGTCACCAATCGCGAGGAGTTGCTCACTTTAAAAAACTTTCAAAATAGCCCGATTTTTGGGACACATTTAGCAAGTGCCTTTCCAGTGTTAGTAAAACTGGTAAATTGGTCTCAACACTACTGAACGTCTATAGAATGAATGGGAGAGAGACCCATTTTTTAGTAAATGCCATTATATGCATCCCTGAAGTAATTAAAAAATCTTATTGCTAGAATAAGATTCCTGAGAACAGTTTTAACAAATGTGATCATAGCCAAGAAAACCCAACAAGATATCGGCCACTGAAAAAGCCTAGCATGTAAGGCCACTATTCATACTGGAATATAAAGTGTACAGTCAGTGCCAAAATCCAGGTTACGAATGCCTGTTAGACCCTGTGTCCATTTTCACATGAAATCCAACTACTTCTTACCTTTTCTAGATAGTTCTGCATAATAACTGTAGGACTTGCCAGACATGTTTCAGAAAGCCAATTTCCACTTAACCTCAGGCACTCCACGTAAATCAGCTGAAGACTTTGGTCATTCTCAACCTTGACATGAAAGCACAAATCAGCTTCATGAAATGCCTTTCAAAGTATCACTTATATCAAGATATCAAGGATGCTGATGACACTGAATGACATACCTCCAAACTGTTTGATTCCAGCTTGTCTACCATTTGACTCAGAATCCCTAAAGCCAGACCCTGCTCCTTTTTAGCCCAAAACACTTGAGCCTCTTCTAGCTGCCATTCAGACACTATGAACTGTGTTGTGTTGTGTTGCTTAATCTGGAACATTGCCTTTTCTGGGAGCTAGGAAATAACAAACATCACACATTATAAACCTTACAACGTCTATGTTCTGATGGGAAGAAAAGACACATTTAGGAGAATGTCTTATTAAAATAAAGAAGGTAAGGAAAATAATTTTTTTGTCATGTGCTTTAAGCTCTAAAATAGCTCATGAAAAATAAGAGAGTTGGTGATGCTGTAGTATACAAAAATTTAGAAAACTGAATTTAACCGTGTTAGTGACGGAAGACATACACTGTACGTCCACGCCACTAAGTGTGTAAATGACTGATCACGTGCACTGTATGTGATTAGCTATTTGGGGCTGTGGAATGCTGGTAACCGCTGAGAATCAGCAGTTACCGTTCATTAACTGATGCCTCAGTATGGAGGCATCCATTATTAAAAGAGTTAAGCTTTTTTCTGACGGTGAGAGCAGAGCATTTTTTTTACAGCTCGTGTGGTCACTGTTTGACAGCTGGTATAGACCAGGATAAGGAAATCCTGATGTATACTTCTTTCTAAATGCTTCATCAACAGAAACATTTAGCTACATGTTTCTTATGCTGCAACAATGTAGCAGGCTTCTGATCGTTCTGGGAAGATCAAAAGACTTTAGTGACATCTAAGACCCCATTCACACCTAGCGACATACCTTTTGCAGCGGATCCGCACGGCCGGGATAGCGCGACTTTCGGGGCGACGTTCCAGCGACGATCCAGCGACGGTAGCGTGACCTTCCCCGTTGGGCTCCATAGAAAAAAAGCAAAATCGTGCAAAATCCGCAGAAAAAAGGGTCCGGTAGAAGCGACTTGCGACCGCGACGAGCGACGAGCGACATGGAGTTAAAACAGCTCCATTGAATAACATTGGCCGGCGACTTCTCGCAATATCGCGCGGCAAAAATGCGCGATATCGCGGCGGAAATCGCGCGACAATTCGCTATATGTGAACGGGGCCTAAACTGAGGGCTTGTTCACACCAAATGCAGACCAGATCTGTATGACTTTCTGCACACACAGTGCGGTGTGTTTTGCCACGTTTTTGACGATCCATTCACAATGACTGCTTGATATAATTAGAAATAAATAAAAGTGTAAAATGTTTTAATGTTTTAAAAAAAATAGTAGAAAAGTGTAAAAAAAAGTTTTAGATTTAAATATATTTTAATACTATCATTATTATAAAAATTAACCCCTTACAATGAAAATATGCAGCTGAGCTGCAGATTGTTTTATGTTTTTACCCTAAGGGGTTAATTCTTTTAAATTTAACCTCCTCATGACAGTGATGTTCAAAGTGTGACACTTAGTGACAGTGACATTGTATGCCAGGTGACCACTATTGGCTTTTAGAAAAAAATAAAATAAAATGTTAGCTTTTAATTTTAGGCTGCGAACTACAAAAAAATGTCTAAAAGAATTCTAATAATCATAACTGGGGTAAAAAGTGTTTTCTTTAAGTTTTTCCCTAATTTGTTTTATATTTTATTTGTCCTAAGTGAGACACACATGTGTGATATAAATATATAGCCCTATCTGTCCACTAAAAAACAGTACATAATATGTGTGGGTGCACTTGGTAAGAAAGTATATTACTGCCGTGGAAGACAAAAATGCAAAAAGTGCACCAGTCATTAACAAGCGGTCATGAAGGGGTTAAATGGAATACATGACAATGGTTAGTAAAAAAAAAATTAAAGGCAAATGGTCTAGTTCTCCTAAGGGTTCAGCTTGTAAACAGTTGTCTGAAAAGCAATGATTACAGCCCCAAATGGGCAAACCGAAGGTTTGCTTGCTGTAAACAAGCTGTTAGTAGGCATCAGTCGACTTTCAGCAAGCAATGTTTAAAGCCTGCTAACAGTTAGTGTAAAAAAAACCCTGAATAGCTACCTCTCTTTCCACCCACGCCGCTCAACATCGCTCCATGATTAAAACTGATCCTCAGGTGTCTACAGGAAAATGGACATTTCTGAGAGTGGAGATCTCTGATGTCCCCCGCAGCTCTCAATGGTTCCTTGCTCTGACTAATGCCATTACTGTATCCTATAGGGCAGGGGCGCCCACAATTTTACGTCTGAAGATCTACTTTTTAAATGACGAGCTCAATGAGATCTACCAACGAAAAAATAATCTGCATTCAGGGCCGAGAGGGGGCGTGGCGGTGCATTGCCTGTGTTCCAGTCCAGTGCGATCCGCAAAAATGCTGCAAGCACCATTTTCACAGATCGCACTGGACCGGAATGCAGGCATTAATGTGCCTGCGTTCCGGGGTGCAGGCGATCGAACTGTGGGGCGGGGGACATGGCTGAGGTGCAATTGACTTCAATACGCAGGGAGTCACTATCCAAACCACCCCTGCTATAGGGTCTCTTCAAAATCTGTCAAGGACTAGTCTGAAATCTTGTAAATGCTTGTTGTACATACCGCGTGTCTGATTATTATTTCCCAAATAATAATTAACAAAGCCATAGTCTTTGTCAACCTCAGAGGCAGTAAGGACTGATAATGCACTTACTCCTCTTTTGATTTCTAATGATCATTTCTTCTTAAAAAGCAGAAAGTAAACTGTAGTGATATGCAGCACATGCTGCGTTGCCTGTTAGTTACAGAAACCGTAGCCATGTGTATTCATTTCGTTGTATTTTTTTTTATGGTGTAGTTTTGATCCTGTTGGTTCTTTTGTTTTACTATTCAAGACTGAATGTGCAATGACAACGTAAAAAATATGGGGGGAAAAAAAAACCCAGAAATCTCTTCTCAGAATGTATTTTGTTTTATAATGTAATAACACACTTTCATATTTATTTGTGTCAGCCAGAAAACTTGATGACTACGTGAAGAAAATAATCTTGTCCACTATGATTTGTGGACAACTATCATATACAATAGCAGATGCAAACTAGCAATCTGCCGTCTCCAATGAGCCTGAGATTTTTTTTTTATCGTCTGATTTCAGCTCTTACAAGCTGATTAGCTCAATTTACTTTGTTTTATATGAACAGTAAACTCTCTGCAGCTTGCATGCTTTTGCACTCGTGCAGAAATAAATGTTGTTACACTTCACATGCCTTATCGCTTAGTTGATTGCCAATAAAAGAAGAATTCCGAGTGCATAATGGAAACATCTTTTGGCTCATCTATATACTCCTTCAAAATGAATGAAATAATCATCCAATTCAGATAGAGTGCCTTAAAACAATTATAAACCTAATTACCAAATTTTCATACAAGTTCACTGTTAATCAGTATGAAATTGCATTGTGTGATTGCAGATTAGTGTCGGGGATCTGCCAGACCGGTTTCCTTGCAGACCAGTCAGCGGAGAAACTGCTGGTGGTGGCAGACTACACTGTTCTCCCTGTGCTTGCGTGGATTTCCTCTGGGTAGTCCAGTTTCCTCCACACTCCAAAGACATACTGGTAGGTGAATTGGCTCTGGTCTAAAATTGCCCTGTATGTATGCGTGTGTGATAGGGACCTTAGATTGTAATCTCCTTGAGGGCAGGGAGTGATGTGATTTGCTGCGTAAATTGTTGTTGCGATGTAAATACCTGTCATAAAAAATATTTTACATTTTAATGCAACTCCAAAAGTTGTTTTTAATCTTTTTAAGTCTGAAACTTTCATTAAAAAAATACCACGTGTTATTGTCATGAAGGTCCTTGTTCAAGCACTTCCTGAGTGACAGCTGTCTTCCAATTGTGCTCCTGTGTTGTCACCCTGTCACATGTGCTGCTGAAGGGAACTATAGGAGTCTGAGGCGACAGTGTGCAAGCATAGTTTCATGTCCAGAGCAATGGTGTGCTGGCCACAGAGAAGAAAGGAGCCAGTCAGTAGCAAACAGTCTTTGTTATTTTCCTGCTTAAAGCTCATCTCCGGCAACTAAAAAAGTACGCTTACAGTGGGACTATCCCCACAACTGCATGTGTTGAGTGCCTGTGTTTGTCTAGGGGCTGGAGTAAAGCAGATTTACTTACCTGATCCACCCTCCTGCAGACTCCCTCCAAGCTGTTAGATTGGACTCCAGCCACTAGACAAAAATGAGCACTTAACCCTTGCAGTGTGGGGGTAACCCCGCTGCAAGGGTACTTTTTTGTTTTATTTGCCAGGACATGTGATTTAAAAGATTAGAACCGCAGCAGAGGTAGGTGGATAACAAGAGTGCATGTATTACTTAACAAATCTTTCCGCAAACAAAATCAGTTCTGATATGAATTTTAGCTTAGTATTTAGCTGTCAGCAGGCCCACTGTAATCATACTAGCAAATGTGGGCAGTAGACCTTCATGTGCTGGGGTGTGTTCTATGTTGATTTCAGCACCCATACCTGTGTGTTGCAGGCAGTCCTGGCAACTCGAGATAAGTCCACCAGGTGCCTTGTAAGGATATGTTTGAGGTTGTTCTGATTAGGGCCATTTATCTCCAGCATTGTCTCCAGGATGACAGAACGCAGAGCCAAGACAGGCTCCTGGAAGCCAAAGTCACTGTCTTTAAGGATCTGGGACTGCTGCTCCCACTTTGTGTACATGTCATTTAACTGACACTCAGTAACGGATCTAAAAAAAATATAAACAACATCACTTTTTAAACACATACAGAATTACCACAAAAGAGATAAATGTTTAGAGATGTGATAGGATACAAGCACCTTCTATTCTCTAGCTACACTTCTTCCCTGGGTCAATTGATAGCCTCCCATGGCTTCCAATACCATGCTTATGCTGATGACACCCACATTTATCTCTCCACTCCTAGCTCACCCCCTCCTTCTCTTCACAAGCCTGATATAACTCGTCACGTACAGTGTACGTGGCCAGTCATATAGGCACAAAGTGACAAGACGTACACTGTACGTCTCCCGTCACGAAGGGGTTAAAATATTTCCTCCTCTACGTATTCCCTCTCACAACTTCCCCATCACACTCATCAGCACTACGATCAACCCCTCCCATCAAGCCAGGGTGCTCGATGTTATCCTTCACTCTGAGCTCTCCTTTCAGCCCCACATCCAATCACTATCCAAACCTTGCCGACTCAACCTCCGAAACATTTATAAAATATGCCCCTTTTTAACAAACGAAACCACAAAGCAATCACTCCCTTATAATCTTTCGTCTCGACTACTGTAGCTTCCTCCTTATTGGCCTACCACTAAACAGCCTATCCCCCCCTTCAGTCTATCATGAATGCTGCTGCCAGACTCATTCACTTTTTCAACCATTCAGTGTCCGCCATCCCTCTCTGCCAATCCCTCCAATGGCTCCCAATTTCCCAACAAACGAAAATTAAAAATACTAACAACAACATACACAGCCATATACAACTCCACCCCAACCTATATCACCTATATCCTGTATAAATAATAATTATTATTATTACATAGTATTTATATAGCGCCAACAGTTTGTGCAGCGCTTTACAATATAAGGAACACATTACAATCACAATACAATTCAAGACAAGATGGTAAAGTGGGCCCTGCCCCTGGGGGCTTACAGTCTAAAAGGGAGGGGGAAGTGATGCATGAGGAGGTAGCTGTGTGGGGATGAATTGTTTGAGAATGTGACGGTTCAGTGGCTAGGTTGAGGTGGGATAATAACAATAATAATAACAATAGCTTATGCAGTACACTATATGGACAAATGTCTGCAGACACTGGACCATCACACCTATATGAACTGGTTGGATACTGCATTCTAAATTGATAGGCATTAATATGAGGCGGTCACCCACTCTGTGGGGAACAGCCTCCACTCTTTGGGGAAGTCTTTTCACAGGATTTTGGAGCGTCTGTGGGAATTTGTGCCCATTCATCCCAAAGAGCATCTGTGAGGTCAAGTATAGATTTTGAATGAGAAGGTAAGGCTCCCAATCGACATTCCAATTCATCCTAAAGATGTTCAGTAAGGTTGAGGTCAGGGCTCTCTGCAGAGGAATTAAGTTCCTCCACACCAAACTTACAAACTATTTCTCGATGGAGCTGGCTTTGTGCACAGGGACACAGTCATGCTTGAACAGAAAATACTTTCCTCAAACTGTTGTTACAAAGACAGAAGTGTACAACTCACAAAGACATAAGTGCACAATTAACTAAAATATATTTGTATGATGTGTATGAAAAACTGACAATGTGTTTCTGCATATTCACGCTAGAGCATTATTAATCGGTTGCATTCTGTTTTTTTCTGCAAAAAGTTCACCAGTTTGCCCACCACAGACGAACTTTCCCTAATTTCTGTGTGCTGAGCTGTGTT